TGACACCCACAGACAGCCCTGCCCCAGGGGCTCATGGGAGTGACAGAGGGGCACTGATGGCCCCCCCTTGGCATAACCCCTAGCCGAACCACTTATGCACAGCTTGTGAGGGCCCTTAGCTGCAGCTGTGATGGGTGCCTCCTGGCTTCAGTCACGCCAAGGGGCAGCCTTTCTCTGAAGCAGCCCTGCTTCTGGCACATGGCAACCAGCATGGCATCCACCGGCTGCTGGGAGTGAGGCACTGAGAGCCAGGCCCGATGGGTACCCTGGGACATTGGGCACAGGCAGGGCAGGCTGCCCTGGCCCAGGGGTATAAACTGCTCTATTCATGCCACCCTGCCAGGGAGTCCAGCGGTCTGCTGAACAGCAGCCAAGCCCCTGCCCTGCTTCTCACAGAGTCACACCAAGCCAACTCGGTTTAACCCTTTTATTTGGAAGCGCAGATGAAGGGAAGCCGCCCTGTTGAAGTGGCAGCAGTCAGCCCCGGAAGAGAGCTGGGTTTGGTCGTTTCTAACACTGACCGAGCCAGGGGCCTGGATCGTGCCAGGAATGTCGTGGTAGCAGATTAAGACGCTGCTGCTGCATTAATATTTGTCTCCTTCCCCTAGGAGCGGGGCCGCCCGAGCGCGCAGCTCTTGGACAAAGCCTGCACAGCACCAGCTTTAGGTAAGACTAGTACAGATTGGTCCATAGCAGCGCCTGTGAACACCTGCCCCCCCCCATCTACCCCAGGGACAGAGGCCCCACTGGCCATGGGGAGGGGCAGCCTCTCCTTGCCCTGCAGAACCCCTGCCCCGGCAGATGATGGGAGCAGTGGCAGGCAGCACTTGATAAACTACTCATGGGTTAGCAAGGAATGTCTACAGCCCAGGAGCTCATCAGGGGAATGGGTGGAAGTTGCTCAACCACCGGAGGGAATGTTAGCTGCTAGTGTGCAGAGAAATAGCCAGATGGGCTTGGGCAAGTGGGTGAGTCATGTCCCAGGCCTGGGGGGAGGAGGGGGAATCACAAGCCCCAGACGTGCTAGCAGCAGTTTCGGTCACATTGAGCAGGAAGTTAGCCGAAAGAACAGGGCTGGGCTGGGGGTGGAGGACCGGAAAGCAGCTGGCTCTCCTCGCCCCGGACATGGCCGGAGCGTTAGTTGGCAAAGGTGCTCTTCACAGCTGCTAGGATGCTCTTGGCACTGATCCCGAAGAGGTCCAGGAGTTCGGCCGGTTTGCCACTCCGGGGCACTCCCGACACAGCCAAGCTCTGGAGCACCATGCCAGGCTCCCCGGACACGGCCGCGGCCACTGCTTCCCCAATCCCACCTAGCACAGAGAGAAGGGTCAAGCTACACGGCCCTAGTTCTCCTTGCCAGGGAAGTGGCGGTTGCTTACGGTGTGCTCGTCACAGCCCCTCTGAGATGTGTCACGTGGGCAGGACAGGCTGGCGGGACACCTGGGTTCCATTCCAGCTCTGCCAGCAGGCCTGGCTTTTCACAAGCCAGCCCTGGGACCCAGGAGATCCCTTCTAGTCCTAGCCCAGACAACCTGTCACAATCCAACTTCCCGGCAGGTTCCCCCACCCCCGTGATGGCTGGAAACCTTATTTCCAGCATCAGTCGATCCTTGGCCCTTTCACGCCCCTTTGTTCTTGGGCCAACATCCTCCTTTAGTTTCAACAGCTCTTCTCCCGTGGTATCCAGCGAATGCCCGGACCTGCGATTTAGGCTACACAACGCACGCGGTCGGTCCCCTCTGCCCCATCCCAGCTGAGATTCCTCGACACCCTAGTCCTGCCGCGGTTGCCCAGTGCTAAAATGGGAAATAACCCTCCTGCTTGGGATTTCCCAGCCATCCAAGGCTGGCGTTGGCCCATGCTGGGAGTGAGCAGCCACCCTGCCATTGCTCCCGCCTCCCCCACAGGCAGTTGGGAGCCCCCGGCCGCTAGCCTCCTACCCTCTCTGTAATGATCCTCCACGGTGATGATGCGCCCTCCAGTAGCCCTGGCACTGGCGACTATGGTGGCTGCATCCAAGGGCTTGATGGTGAAGAGGTCGATGACCCGGATGTGGGTGCCTGGAAGGGACAGAGGGTCAGGGGAGCATGGGGGAGCGAGCTAGCTCATGGCCATCCCCCGAGTGCTGGTTACCTTGCTTGGCGAGCTCGTCAGCAGCGGCCAGGGCCTCATGCAGCGTGACCCCGGCTCCGATCACCGTGACCCTGTCAGCATCGCTCTTACGCACAACCTGGGGACAGAGATGCCAGAGGGCCAGGCTCAGCCAGGACCATTCCTGCAGCCAAGGGTCAGGCCTCCCGGCCCGGCCCTTCCCTTGGCAGGCAGGTCTCTGCACTCTCCCACCCCACTGGCTTAGCAGGCACCTTCCCTCTCCTCGCATTAAATCTTTCTTTGGATCGGATCACCAGACCCCCATCCGCTCCCAGAGCTGTGGGGGAGAACCCCAGAGTTCTGGCTCCTAGCCCTACCCACTAAACCCCACTCCCCTCTCCTCCCCTCCCAGAGCTGTGGGGGAGAACCCCAGAGCTCTGGCTCCTAGCCCTACCCACT